AGTCCCTGGCACATTAAAAGTGGTCAACAAATGTTACTAACTTTTCTTCATCATTTGCATTCTTTGAAAAGCCAAGCACAGGGCCTTGTGTACACTGAGTGCTCCATAAATATCACGGTTGGGTGAAATAAATTGCTGAATCACTACCTTGTCTGTTTGACTTCCTCTCACATTGGATCCAACCAGGAAATTATTAATTATTCTGACTTCCCACACAATGATATCAACAAAGTAATTACTCTTTGTCTTTTATAAAAAATTAAGATGATCTTTAATATTTACATCTAGTTTCCTAGATCTATTACATGTGTAAGAAGCCATTTGTCTAAATTGGTAGCGTTTTCTAGGTTACGGGCATTAATATATATTGCAAAATATGCAGTAGAATCCATTTAAGATTTTAAGACATAATTTCACTCTAGGGAAAATATTTTACCCATTCCTCAGAGGACTTAAAATGGCTAAATTTTCAAGAAATGATCAAAATTTTTATTACCCTTGTTGCTCTAGGAGCCAAATTTTGGAGAGTTTATCTTTGCCTTTGTCTGGCTATTCTCTATACATCCATCAATATCCCCAGTCCCGGGCACTCACGTCCCCTAAACTTCCCCACCGAAATGGCCCTCTGAGTGCACTGACTGGGCAGCAACCTAGTTTTAAACCTCTTTCACATCCTCTGTATTTTCCTGTGTTCCAGGCCCTCAGGACTTTCTGTCTGCCAGCTGACCTGATAAACCAAACCAAGTTAAAAAATGAACATATGCTAATGATTTGTTAGAATTAACAACAGCTCCTTTCTGGATAATATTTCATTTTATTAGAGTCTACTAGATAGAATTCCTTTACTCAAATGAATGGTTCCAATAGTGAAAGTTTCAGATCCTATGTTTGCCAAGGAATAAATGCTTTGAACCCGGGAGTGTTTTTCCCACCCTCAAATCACTGTATAGACTGCTGCCTACAATGCACTTGCCCTTGATCACAAAAGCATTTTCTTTGCTTCAGCTGCCAGAGATTTTCCCCTTCTACATGCTCTCTTCCTTCTCCTGAAATTCACTAGAAAGTTTCAGATAAGGCAGAAACGTGATTTACTTAAACCTTTGTCTTGTTACTGCGTATTCTCTTGGCTGGGCAGATCAAAGGAGAATCACAAATATAAATATAAAATACCTAGCATTCAATACAGTCTCTGCAAAGAGAACCTATAAAAATCACTTGAGGCATCAAGGACAATGAGCAGCTGTCTTAGAAGTTAAGTCAATACACTGGAAAAATACATCAGAAAATGGACTGTTTGATTAACAAGAACTAATCATTGATTAGTTTGAGTCTTCAAAATATTTATTGCATAAAATGCATGTTGCAACGTATATGTGTGCATAGAGGGTGACAGAGTGGGGAGGCCGGGGAGAGACAGTGAGACAGAGAAAAAGAGAAAGATTTTGGAAGAGAAAGAAAGAAAACTGAAAATAATCCCACTGTACTTAATGAGGCCCCAGTGGACTAGTCCTGAATCCAAATCCAAATCTCAAAGGCAGACGCTGAAAGCTCACATTCTCAGAATCTAGTCCATCCCAGTGGGTCAAAAAACACCTGACATTTATTTTCACTAAATCTCAGCTGTATCTCTCGGAAACAGAAATCCTTTCCTTTAAAGAGAAAAGTGGAAACAGCTAGTATAGAGCTCCACTGGTATTGTTAGCCACCATTACTACCAAGAATTAGAGCCAAAGGGATACACAGCTAAGGGAACCGTAAGTGATGTCAGATAGGATTCTGGAACCCAGAGAAAGTCAGAGAGAATGTTTGCCACAAGAGGGAGCAGTAGAATTTGGTCAGCTGGGAGACCATTTGGTAGGGGTTATGAGGAGTGGTCCAACTATGAGGTATGGGAAGTTACCATGAAGGATTTAACTAGAAGTATGGATGATATTTGGAAAATATTTTAACAAAACACATTTATCCTTAGAGGCAAAAACAAAAAGATAAAGGGACCAGGAAGAGTAGGGAGATAATAGCACGCTGATTCCTAAATTCTTAGCAAATATAAGGTGACAATTTAGTATTTACTTGAAAGCAATATACGCATGTACTACAGAAATATAAAATATGCAACACATGTGCTTTAACAGCCTCTTTTAAAGGTTGTATTTCTTTTTCCTGATTTAATTTACATTTCAGTTTGAATTTTGTTTATTTCCATGTTTCTGGGGCAGACTCCTTCTTATCTACTATTCTCCCTCTACCTAAAGGCATCGTACAAAAAAAAAAAAAAAAAAAAAAACTCACAGAATTGCAATATAATAAAACAGACATGAATGTCCCAAAATGCACTTACTTTGAGACAACCACATCTACAAGCTAAATGAATGCTTTGACTTGCTTTTTAAAGGGGAATTGCAACTTCCTTGGATCTGCAGAGCTTCTCTCATAATTTATTTTGTCAAAGAAATAGATTGAATACTAAGAGGAAAGGAATCATGCGTTTATTTTGCAGGTAAGTAAAAGTCTATTTTTGCCTGGCAAAAGCATGTTAAACATTGCTTTTTAACAAATGCTGAAGTGCTCTTAGAATACATGTTATTTTCTTCAAAACATAATAAGCTTAATAGAGCAATGCACCTAATTCCCACAAATAGTCCTATAGGTGTTACTGACTATACCTCACCTTCCTTTTGTAATTTTACTGGGAGTCAAAGCACTGTTACTGCCATGCTCTTTTCTTCCCCTGGTCAACAAAACAGCTATCTAGTTCTTAACCTGAAGCATTACAGTAGAAACCATTATAGAATAATAAAGTAAACAGATAGGTAAATAAATAGAAAATGCAGCCTTCATGGCATTTTAGTTCATTACTCTCCTCTTTCACCCTGTTAAGCTTTCAAGACAGAGTAGATTAAGTCTGATCATCATGGACACTCTTACATCCCTTGCAGCCTGATACAGCTCAACAATACATAATGGTTTATCTCTGCCCAGTTTTTTTTTTTGTTGCTGTTTTTCTAGGAATTAATCATTCCATTTTTAAAAAAGACAACAGCCATTTTAAGGGGAAAAAATCAAGGCTCCTTTTATAGCAGGTGTGAGAAATCTTAAAGAGGCCTGAGATCCAAATGGAATTCTTCAAGCAGGCAGAATTTGTACAATGAAAACCATCTAAGAGCACACATCTTGCTTCTTGAAGAAATAAGTGGGTCCTCCCCCACCTTCTCACTCACAAGGCCCCAAAGATGGAGCTAGTTTTCCCTTCCTTCCTCCTGCTTTCACACCCGCCTAACCTTCCAATTAAGCAAGTTTAGCAAACCCAGAGAGCTCAACCCAAGTAACACAGGATTTGAAAGAGGAACCTGAAACCAATCTTCCCTCTTCTGGCTTTGTCTTCTCATTTGAAATGAATGAAACATCTTCCTTTTTTTGACTAGCTGCAAGAGTAGCTTTGAGAGAGAAAGAGAAAGCGTGTGTGTGTGCGTGTGCGTGTGTGTGTGTGTGTGTGTGTGAGAGTGAGAGTGAGAGAGAGAGAGAGAGAGATGGTGGTGACATGGGAAATAGAGGTATACTTTCAGAATTCTCTCCTGGTGACTCCCTCGTTCCCTTGGGAAATCTTCGCACTAGTCTCGGATTGTACATGTTCAAGTGCTCCTATCTGGAGATACTCCAGCAATGCCTTTCACCAGATCTGATCAGAAATCTCCACCTACTCAGCTAGAGGCTCCTCCATGATCAGGACGCTTGTACTGTCTTCACCACATCTGTCATTTTTAAAAAAGCTTCTTCCACTACACCTCCCACTGATATCCTTTTTTCTCTTTTTAGTCTTTACACCTCCAGCAGGACAAAGTTTGTATTGTTATATTCACAACCACTAGTAGCTGACTAGCAGGCGATATACAGAGCGCCTTCAGAGGAGCCAGGTTTAGGGGCTTTAAAAAGATACCTAGGGCAAAGCATGACTTTCCAGTGACTGCATACAACATGCACATTGCTCTCTTCCAAAAATGCTTTGTTAAATTTCATCACCCTTGCTCTCAACTCAACCACTGCCACTCTGGAGAGGGAAATACGAATTGCCAGCCCAAGCCATTCATCAAACAGCAACAGAATCCATGGGGTGGTGGGGGGGGGGCGGGGGGTGATGCAGGGGGTGGTTTTAAAGAATCAAGGATGCACACATACTATATTTTCAAGCGCATCGCCTGGGCGGATTTGCTTTCTTTGGCCGGCTGTCCAGTTCTAAGACCGCCCTCTTCTTCATTAAGGAGGAGCCAAAAAGGATATCTTCACATCTCAGAACACAGACCATTTCCCCCAAGAGCAAGCAAAGCTCCAGAGGCAGAGAATGCAGCTGTAAAGTTCACTTCCAATCTCTTGGGGAAAGATGCCTGTGTGTGCAGAATCCCCGAAGCACACCAAGGCGCAGTGCCCAGAGACGTGGACCCTGCAGCCCACTCCCCGCTACCCCCTACATTTCTTCCTCGTCTGTCTCTGTTCCGCCACACCTCCCTCCTCTCCGCAGTCCGTGGTGAATGAGCACCCAACGCCCGCTGGAAAAGAGGGGGCTCGGAAGTGTGGCCTTGGGGAAAGACCCCAGGGATTACCGGGAGGAGGGATGGCCGTGGAGAAGAGTCCAGTGGGTGGGGAAGGCTGGATCCCCAGCAGCGCTGCGTTCAGGGTGGACTTAGCTCTTCGCGCCCTGAATCCTCAGAGCCCAGCGCGGTGCAGGGTGCAGCATCTCTCCTTAGCAGCCCTTTCTTCCTCCGGCAGCCTGCACTGCCAGGCAGGCACCCTCACGCCCAGACGCACCAGCTCCAGCAATTTCACTCTGAGAAGCGCGGACACCCAGAAAAATGTGCAGGCGCGCGCGCACACACACACACACACACCATTTAGACGCCGCTCGTTTACCAAAGCAGAGGGAAGTGTAGACTTATGAACAGCAAATGGAAAATAGTTCTGGGTCTTCTGGACCAAATGCCTTCTGCCTACCCATCCTAAGATCCTACCTGGTTTGGGGAGTGTGAATGGATTCTTCTCCGTTCCTCCACGCTAGTAGGAAACACGGCGCACTCCCTTCTTTTAAACAGCTCCCGATCAGGAAGAGGTCGCTCCCATCTTCTGTGGGAAGCACAAAGCAGGCGGCGGCGGCGGCGGCGGGCTGACTCCCGTGCAGCGCCGGCGCGATCGGGAGCGGCGGCGGCGGCGGCGGACAGCGGTGCGCGCGGGCGGGAGGCAGGCGCGGAGGCCGGGAGGCTGGGAGGGCCGGGGCCCGGGCGGCGCGCGCGCTCCCCCTCTCTTCCTCCCTCCCGCGCACACTCGCCCGCCGGCAGCCTCGCACTCGCTCACACGCGCGCTCGGCCCCGCGGCCGCCGGACGCCCCGGGGCCCACTGCGCGCCCCCTCCCCCCCCCCCGGGCTCCCCGGGCGATCGCGTCGGGGCAGAGCCGGCGCGCTTCTGGAGCACCGAGCGTGTGGGGAGCCCTTCGAGCCTCCCGGCCTCTGCCGCTGAACAGCTTTTTCGATTTCCTGTCGGCACTCGGCCCCGCAGTGCGTTCTGGCCGCGCGCTAGCGCTGTCTCCCGCAGCCAGCCCATCGATGACACGCGCACACAGGCGCTGCAACTTTTCTTTCTAACCCTCTTCGCCTCATCTGCGGACAGAACCCTGACCCCCAACTCGCCTACCCGTTTCTCACCTCTGACTTTGTTAATCCAGCTATCTTTCTTCCCCCACTTCCTGCCTCTCTGCTAAAGGAAGCTTTCTTTTAGCAAAAGGATTTGAGCATATATCAATGATTTTTTAATCCTCACCCTGTGTTTTTCCTACGTATCAGATATGCACAACTCTACGTTGGCTACTAGATGCTGACACAAGCAAACAGGGATACTGGGGGGAAGGTGTCCCCCCGCCAAGAACAGGGAAAGATTCTGTGTTGGTATTTCCCTCAAAGATGCGGCTCACCTGGGAATACAGATCCAGAGGCCGTTTCCTGTGAAAGCTATGCTGCTTTTAAACTACAGTGAGGAGTAAAAGCCGAGGCTTGAGTTGGGAAAGACCTAATGCAGCAATCGACGAACCATTCATTGCCCTTTCCAAGAGAAGCATTATCATTGCCAATACATCACTTCCCCATAATTAATAAAGGAGCACTGCACCAGGCCTTTACACTCTTGACAGTTCATTCATTCTTACAAATCCTTAATGACTTCACGTGGCGAAAGGCTAGACCTACTGTGGCGTTCACGGGCTCCCAAACCTGGCTGTGCATCAGACACACCTGGGAATGAAGTCAGACGCTATAGAATCTGAAGCAGAAGCTGATGCAGACTCTCCTGCTGTAGGTCTCAAATGGGGCTCCAAGTTTGTATGTTTAAAACACCAGTTGCTATTGGCCACTGGTGTGGTTCGCCAAGGTGTGAGGGGTCAGGAGCAGCTACTTGGGGAAGGTGAAAGAAGGAGGGACCTACAGAACACCAGGCAGAAAGTTTCTTTCGTGGAGACGTCCCCCAGTACTTACAGTGCAACCGGGGCAGTCACCACAAATGAGAGCTTCTGACTCCAGGAACCTCAGTTTGCCTCTGCAACAAAGAGCGGCTGAACCTAAGAAATAGCCTCTTCCGCCTCTATGCCAGTGGCCCTCACTCCTCCACGCACCTCAGAACCTTCTGGCCAGTTTTTAAACATCCCCGTGCCTAGGCCACACCCCCAAACTGATTAACTGACTCTCTGCAGGTGGGCCCCAGGCATCATTAATTTGTTTTTAAGATTCCTGGTTGACTCCTACGTGCGCTGAAAGTTGAGAACCACTGCTCCAGGCCAGTAATCTTCAAACATGAATGTGAATATGAGTCACATAGGGATTGCAGTTTATTTTTCAATAGACCTGGAGTAGGCCTGGGGTCTGCATTTGCAGCAAGGGTTCAAGTGATGCTGATGCTGTCTAAATGAGGACCTCACTAATTAGTTGGGTCTGTTGCCAGCAATGATGGACCCTGGCTTCATAGAGTATAAGCCAAGCTGTTTCATGCCTTATAAATTTGCAGGAATCGCTCCTTAAGAACATTTTTCTTTCCTTGCTATAAGTTTTCTTGGAAGCTCCTCGCCACATAAACTTTTGGATAGACTGCACTGACTAGTGGGTATAAACAGAATGACATGTGGGGAGAGATGGAAGGTCACCATCTCTTTTAGAATATGTCCTCTGCCAAAAATTAGAGTCCCTGAATTTAAGGGAGTATCAGAAACAGATATTTGGCTCACACTCAATGAAAGGGGCTTGGAGAGAAAAGTGGCTGCCTTCAACATGACACTAAGGAAGGTACATAACTAAAGACTCCACTCATAAGAAATAGGACACAGCTAAATGAAGAAAGTGAGAGAATGTTAAATGAAAATGTGAGCAGGCCATATCTCATTGGAATAGATTTCATGGAAAGAGTGTAGCCTCTTATTGCTATTATGAGCCACTCAGTGAAAGCAGAGATTTTCTTGAAATTGTAGGCATGTTTGTGATATGGAATGACAAGAGTCCTGTTCTTTAAATGTCTATATTCCAGTGATCCCCAAAGTCTGTCTTTTGACTTTTTTTTTTTTTTCTTGCTTTGACCATTGAAATTGCAAGGCTACATCTTGACCCTCCTGATTCTTCCTTTTGACCATTGAAACTGCAAGGCTACATCTTGGCCCTCCTGTTTCTTCCTTTTTTCCCAATCGAAACTGCTTTTAGACTGATTTGGATTCTTGGGGAAAAAAACAACAACATTAAATGGTCTTCTCTTTATCTAGAACTATTGAGAAGCAGCCTGATGACTAGAGATTTGGCATCCTTTTTGGTTCAGTCAGTTTCTGAGCCCTTAATTTTCTTTGCCTTTCATTTCTCATTAAAGGCATTTTTATAATGGTTCCAGGGCCCCAAGGCAAATTAAACCTTTCCTCCCTTCTAAATGTCATACATGAGTGGGTTTTTATTGCAGGAATTATCAAAGGCTACATCACAGGCACAAGGCTGAGGAAGACTATGGCTCTAAGAAAGGAAAAACTGAGGCTGCTGCAGTCAATGGCTTTGGAAAGAAGAAATGTATAGAGCAAGGTGGTAATTTATATTCTAGAAGCAGTAGTGTTTCTTAATCGCAGTCTTCCATATGGATTGCCATTCTTTCCTCTGGACTTGGAATTAAGAGTCACCAGTCTCCGCTGGCACAATCATTCAGGGGACTCCACAGGGATATCACTAAGATACAATATATTCTAAAGATGGTTCTGATGTTCACAAACTATTTCCTAGGAAACCTTCAGGGAATCAGTTAGCATACTCATTTTCAGACCAAGTGCAAATATTGTGCATTAGGCCCTCTTTTTTTTCCAGTCTATAGAAAAATTAGACATGTGATCAGGTTACCAAGATTTTTAAAAATAACATTTTAGTAAAACATTCAATAATTTTTCATCATAGGGAAAACAAGCACAATACTCTATTGAAATTCCTTTCATTTTTACTTTGAATTACATAAATCAGAGGTTCCTCTATTGTCTCTCCCATTGCTTGCGGTTCTGAAGGTTGTTAATATAGTCTTAGTCATGCCTGACTTCATTTCTTACTCTGCCAGTCTTCACCAATCACCTATCTGCTCATTCATAGGCTCAGTTTCATACTGATTTCTACATAAGAAAATTTTATTATATGGTAGCACCCCTAGCCTGGCTAGTGAGTGGAGCTTAGAATTAATCATTTTTCCATATCTAAGAACCTCAGGTGGACCATTGAATTTCCAGTTTTGTTTGTTAGGTTTTCTTTGCTGATGAGTAGACTGAGGGTTCTTTGCTTTGGGGATGACTTTGAGAATTCTTTGTTGACTTCTAAGTGCATTTCCTCCTCCTCCCTGGAGACTTGTTCCTGCAGTTAAACTTTAACTTCTCTGTTTTGTTTTGACCAATTGAACCCCACTCTTGTATCTCACCCAATAGTAAGCCCTGCTACTGCGCAACAGTCCACAGACTGGGGGCAGCCTTCCTGGCAGACTCAGTCACAGCCTTCCTTCTCTCTACGTTACTGTGGGATCAGCCACTTCCTCTGAGTCGCCAATGAATTTGTCACAGTCTTTGGACATCAGAGGCCTGCAGTTCTACATTTGAGCTACTGATATTAAAGAATTGGACTTGTACAAAATCCTGACACTTCTGCTTTCCATTTCTGCTCCTTACTAAATTAAGGAAATATCCAGTCTCTGTCCCACAACTTTACCAAGGTAACTCAATGGCAGAATCATTATCTAGAGCTATTAATTAGTGGGTCAGAAAAGAAGAGCAGATTGGTTAAGAGCCAAGGCTTTAGAGTCAGAATATCTGTGTTGGATTCTCAGATTCAGCTGTGTGACCTTGGGGAAGCTTCTTAACCTCTTAAATCTCAGTATCTTTAAGGTGTTATGGAAAGGATAAAATGTATATAGGATGCTTGGCAGAGTTCCTGATCGTAGTAATTGGTGAGGAAATGATATTGCTATTATTATTATTGGTAAAGTTTCATAAACATGATATCAATGTAAATTTTAAAATTTCTGTATAATTAGATTCTACGTAATCAGGTCATCCCATTATTGAAATTGATTATGCTATTTTTTATTATACAGAATTCTATGCAATGAATAATCCAGAAAAATATACGTATCTACACCAGGAGAGTACTTTTCCCCTCTTTAAGGAAAAAAGCTGCTTGTGCACTTTCTGATTTTTAAGTACAGAGTGTGGTTAGTGATTGATTAAAAGGGGGAATGAATTCTTCTCTCCTTCACAATATTTCTTTTCCTTTATGTCTGAGTATCAATTTGATCTTATCTCTATTATATCTCTATTATAAAAAAGGGTAGAATTTCAAAGACAGCCTTTTAGACAAATTCTGCTACAACTAAAATTTTGGTTGTTACATTAGGTTAATTTTATTAACCTGGAACTTTTTCTGTAGGGCATAAACTTCTTCACTAAGTTTACACAACACACTTTCCTCAATATTGATTCAAGGACTCTCCATCAAATAGGTACTCAAGATAAATTCCCTAGGGTGCTTTGTACCAGGCAGTTGTTCCCTACAATCCAGCTCAGAAGCAATGTCCCTGCGAGATTACACTTCAGCCTTTTCCATAAATCTGCTTTCCAAGGCACCCGTTATGATATATAGCTCCCTCGCTGTATCCTCAATTGCTGGTCACTGATTAGACTCTTCCGAGAGCTACCAATGTTTTAGTGGTTACCACAACATCCAGACAGTAGCCCTTGAAGATGAAACCTAAGGGGAAAAATAGACTAAACTTATGGGTGTTGTAATCCATGATTTCAATGATGCTGATTCTGCTACTACTGGAAGTGTTTGGAAATAATGAAACTGTATGCTCTCATTCCTTTAAAAATTCAGACTCATACAATGTGACCTAAAGAATCCTTAGTAATCACAAACAAATAATGTTCAGAAACTACATTCTATTTTCCCATTCTTTTAAAAGTATCATCCAGTTACACAAAATGTTTCAGCATTTCTAAGAATGTCTTTATCAAAATAAAGGAAAAATTGTTTGTGTAGACATTGAAATTTTTTGCCATCTCC